GATGACTGCCACAATGTGGATAACATTGATGTACCACATAGGCTCTGTTTATTGGGATGGAACAGTAGAAACACTTTGGATGGACACAATAAGTACATTTTTATCCCCCCCCCCCCCCCAAAAAAAAACCAGTGGTTTTTTTTTTTGGTTTTTTTTTTGCTACTAGGTCTATATGCTGGTGCATCTAAAGAAATTGAAATGTTATTATTTCAATAGTTCAATTCAAAAAGGGAATTTTACGAACATTCTATATGTTTGCATAAACCACACCCACCCAAGAATTGAGAAATGCAGCGTGACAATCTATACCAGGGGTCGGGAACCTTTTTGACTAAGAGAGCCATGAAAGCAAAATATTTGGAAATTGTTTTCATACTCACCATTAATGTGAATGGTTTCCCGTTCCTCACGATTGCGAAAGATCCAGCAAAACTATAGCGGGATTATAGTCAGCTTGCCGGGTCCATACGCGGAGTTGCTGCTGGGGGCCAGCTTTGGCCCCGCCTTGCACGCTTGCTTTCTGCTCTCTCTCGTAGTGTGTTTTGATGCGAACGTAGCATGCCGCTTTACATTCGACCGTTTCATCGATGGTATTTTGTCCTTGCAAATTAGACACACCGCAGAACCTGTTCCCTCCACAAAGGCGAATCCTTGGGTCCATTCGTCCTGAAGTGTACCATACTCGTCATCTTTTTTTCTTTTCGCCATCTTATTCGTCGAAGGATTAGCTTTGAGCTAATAACTGAGCGGGCTGATTCAAAAGGGGGCGTTTACCTGTTGCCACAGCAACGGCCTACGTAGGCCAGTATCATCCAATTAAAATTGCCCCTGCCAACTGCAGGACACGACCAGTGAAAAAAGTCGATGGATGTATTAAACAAGTGAGAATATTTTGTTTTATCTGCGAGCCAGATGCCATTATCAAAAGAGCCATATATGGCTCGCGAGCCATAGGTTCCCGACCCCTGATCTATACAGATGTAATCCTGGGTGCTCCTGGTTAGTAGATCAGCTTTCACGTGTGTGTGAGATCTATCCAGCTTGAGGAAATCAAACCCTAAGATTGTGTTCAGCATTATGCAAAACCTTAACAAATACCTGACTTACCTCTTAAAGTGAAACAATTAATCTCTTTTTTTTTGTTTTTTTTACCCCTGCCCATGGTTGTGGCCATTTTGTCTGCCTTGCACTTAATTTGAGCCAACTGTGAATATGATTTGTGCCAACATAAAATGCTTCACTTGTTTGGACCCAAGTGGTCTCCCCCTTCGTTAAACTGTTTATTTATTTAGTTATTTTTTTAACAGCAAAATCACACCTTAGAGATGACGCATCATCGCAAAGCAGAGGACTGTGGCAAGTCTTTTCATTTGTCCTCAACTACCCGTAACATATTCGTGTCGCTCTGTGAGCCCGCAGCTCTGTAACTGTCTATCATGAACGAAGGCAAACAGCCCGCAGCACTGTCTTGGCCAAGTCAGGCTTATCGCAAGGAGAACTAAACAAGCCCGAGTGTTGCACCAGAAATAGTTCAAGTGGCATATCCATGAATGTTTTTGTTCCGTATTCATTTGAATGTTACTCGTGTGCGCTCATCCTCCTGTCGACCTGTCTGCTTGTCTATCTGCAGCACTTTGCTGTCCTCTTGAAGTATGTCATCCATGTGGCCATTCCCGACATTCCGACATGGGTGAGAGAGGAGATGGCTAAACTGGATTATCAGCGCAGGGAGGCCTTTAAGGTGAATTATGAGAACGCATAAATAAGTGCGGTTTTGATATGGACAAATTGGTAGGGTGCCAACCACTTAAGGTGGAGACAGACAATTTTTTTTTTTCCACTGGGCTGTACCCACATTTTACCGTTGGGCTGAGCCTGCAACAGTCTGGATGGGGGTGGGGGGGGCAATTGATAATGGCTAGTTGGGTGCGGTCGACACCCAACTCAAGATGAGTCGCAATCAATCAAGCATGTTTGAACTTTTTCAGATTATCTTGAAGCAGATAGCGATGCAGAAAGCTGCGCAAAACAACAGCACGCTGTTTGTTGCCGATGCTTGTTGAGTAAAACCCCAAAGTCAAGATCCGCAGATCTCGTCAGCCTCCACATTTTATGTGGCCTGATAAAACTTTTCCCATGACTTCTGTTCAATAAATAGCTCCACCTTAAAAATGATCACATTCTAATGCCAGGGCACTTTCTTGGCTTCCCACACACAGGTTAGAACATATTAGATAATGGACACCAAGTATAATTGCCTCATGCGTTTGTCACACATTTAGTCTGTAATGAATAAATAAATAACAATTCGAATAACCCGTGACCCTTTCACAACACCACTTATGGGCAATTTTCAGTCTTCAAACAACCTAACCTGCATACAAGACATGTTCTTCTTCCTTTGCCAGAAGGACGGCATACTGTCTGCTCACTTTCAGCAGTCATGGACAGAAATAAAACGAGCTCTAATGCGTGTGCGGTCGTAAACACACCATTGTGTTTCCCTTCCTCTGCAGAAGCACGAGCGTCAGGCTCAGCAGCACTACCAGCAGCTGCAGAGGAAGAAAAGGGAGGAGGAGGAGAGGCAGAGGCAAGTGGAGCATATGGCCCGCAGAGAAAGGGACCGGGACGACGGCAAAGGCGACTCCTCCGGAGATCACCACCACGACAAAAGTCACAGCGGCAAATCGCGCCCTGGCGGTGGCGGTAGCGGTAGCGGTGGCGGTGGAGCCGGCGGAGGCGGTTCGGACAAGCCCAAGAGGCCCAGCTCCCTGCTGGCCAACAACAACGTGATGAAGCTCAAACAGATCATACCGCTGCAGAGCAAGTTCTCCTCAGGTGGTGCCCGCTCCCCTCAGTCGCCCACTGAAGCAAAGCTGCCAGGGTTCCTCAGCTTCAAATTCCTCAAATCACCCGAGAATAAGAAGGAGTCCGCGGCGGCTTCCTCGACGGCTTCCGCGGCAGCCGCGGCAGCCGCCGCTGCCAATGGTACGTCGACATCATCTTCATCATCAGGTAGCAGCTCACACGAGCGTTCTCAGTCACCCAGCAAAGCCTTCAACCCTGGAAAATTGTTTAATTTTGGAAAATCCGAAGCGGGGACGTGCATCAACGGGGTGCCCCTTCCCAGGTCCGGGGAGGGATCCTCATCATCACAGATGTCAGAGAGACCGGCTTCCAGGTCCGACTTGAACGGCATTCCGGATGAAATCCCTTCACCTGGAGGGGAGGGGTCAGAGGACGGACATTCGAGTGAGTTGGACCCTCCTGGCCCCAAAGTCTAGTAGCTCCTTTGGTTTCACCTCAACGGAAGAACTAACGTGAGGAGACATGAGGCAACGGCAGGCACTGCTCTGTTGTAGCACTTGAACTTGAAATGGATTCCTGTTGTTTCTGGTTCACTTGAGCGAAAAAAAAGAAAAAAAAAGAAAATAGGCTTCACCAGAACAATATGACCCTGTGGCACCACAACATACTTACACGACACACACAATCATGTCTGCAATACATAAAGAAATGCATGAGCTGCATTTCTTTTATTTTTAAGCCTTCAAAGCAAAAAGCTGTGTTTCTTAATTTCTTCTGTGGCCAATTGCGAGCATCTTCCAAAAGCCCAGACAGAGGAAAAAAAAAAAGACTTCATTGAAAAGTCATCTCTTAAGTGTACTAGATAAGAGTGTCATCATAAATCAGTATTAGATAACTGCCTTGATTTTAACTGTGAAATATTTGGCCCCTCTTTTTATGTGGAAAGAAAAATGAAAAGCAATATTAATCAGTCTTTTAATTTGGAGTAATGCTGCAGTTTCTTCTTGTGACAAAACACCTCCCTTTGCGGGTATCCTTGATGAATCCACCCGCTTTATTTTCTAAGCCGAGGTGAGGTCGAAGCTTCGGACACATTTTCCCCATCTGTGGCAATATGGGATTCATTTGAAACAACAGTCCTGCTGTCACCCCCCCCAGCCCACAAAGGACAGTTAAAGAAGTAAAAGAAAGACGGGAAACTGAGCAAATGGTACACGCACGCAGTCCTCCTCTCACAGATGGTTCTCCATTTAACACCCTCGAAACACACTTGGCTATTGAGCGGCAAATTAAAGTTACTTTTGCACTAACTGCTACTTTTCTCTGCAGGAGACGACAGCCTGCCTGACACATTATGCAAACAGGACTGGATAGATTTCCTCCTTTCCACACAGTACACGGGCAGAAATAGTGAACATTTATTTTTGCAAGGTGCTTTCATGACGCAATTGCTTTATTAGTGCTAATAATTTTACTTTGGACCAAAGTTTTTTTTTTCTCTCATATGAAACTGTTCATATAAATGATGCTTTGTTATAATTTTCCATTTGGCACTTTTGCCAGCAGATGGCGCCAGAATTTTTGTTACAACGTGTCCAAAAGTGTGCAGACTGACCCAAGAACATGCCGAGCAGGCGTCGCCATCTGGGTTGAGAGACATTTACCTATGCATTCCCACATCACTGGCACTGATAAGGGTTTTGGCAATAAGGGAGGACATTTACATGTAAGAGTCAGTACATACGCTTGTCTCGGGCCGCCCATATTTGTTGTGCATCTCGTCCACTTGTTCGCCTCCGCATCAATCGAGGTGAACGCAGCTCTCCTCGTGCACAGATAAACAGATAACCAACTTTATTTTAGTGTCACAATAGGTCCATGAAGAAAATACATTTATATAAAATCGCCGATGCATAAAGAAAATACATGGTTGTAATGATGCGGAGGGAGTAAAAATGTGTCGTTGATACAATAGTGTACATGCAATAAGGGAATATGCAGTTGTCAAACTATGTATTATTTTATAATTTGGGGGAGGTGATTGTTTATTATAATTACCAGGCTATGAGAAATACATACAGTGCCAGTACAGTATGATTTTTCAGAAGGGTAGGTAAAAAAAAAGAGGATATTGATGTGTAGCTGGGCTAAGCTCAAAAACCTTTGATTGCATCAATGAAGACTCCATGACCCAAATTGTCAATTTGGAAGTTTGAAAGCAGGGCTAGCAAATGTGAGGTCATGGCAGTTATTCATGCGACACAAGTTTTAGGGTCATTATATTTTCAGGGAAACCACAAGTTCATAATGTACAGTAGATAATGATCACGTTGATGATTTCATGTATTTCGCACATCGCTGCAGAAACATGAACACATTATCGGGGTTGACGCATTGCCTTTGCTTTGAATTAAACATTGGGGAACTATGGCACATTTTCTGGTTCACAAACGTGTTGATGTGGCAGATCAGATCAGACTAAACGAAACGTTGGAGCATTGAAATGGTATCACACAAAATGAGCAGGTGAAGACGTGAACATCTGGCTGTCAACATTGCTTCGACGACCGAACGCTGTCATCGACATCATCCATTGATGCCTCACAGAACATCATAAAGCTCTTCCAATGTACAAAAAAAAATATTTTCAAGACAATAACTCAGAAATTGGACTGTCAATTTGTTTTAATTTATTTTGTCATATTTTTGTAAGATCGGAAAAAGTTGATAGTTAATAAAACTATTTCAAAAGCGCCCTGTTTGGTTTGTTGCTTGAATAGAATAAACCACTGATTTTGCCAAATACAAGGAATTCATTTTTTTATGAACTGATAAAAGCACCACAGGACAACGATGTCTGTCCAGTTTTATTTCAGCAAAGCTAGAAAAAAAATCCATCTGATCTTATGTACAAGACGGGTGGTGGGAGGGGCTTCAGGTGTTGTAGAACAGTTTCAGCAGAAGCATAACATGGTCTTATAACTGAAACAGACACGACGGGTGGCGCGATAACAGACCACATTGTTTTAGATCCTATCACATATACCTGTATCTATCTTTATTCGGTATTGTCATGGACAACAAAAGAAACAACAAGATGCAATATGGACTGGGACTGCATGCTAAAAACAACCGCTTTTAACTTGTAGCATGGAACTACTTAAATCACCAAAACAAAGGTGATGCGAGAACAGGATCCAAATAGTGACTACCAGTCGTAAGGCCTCTAAGGCTAACAATCCAAAAATGCAATGGGGGAAGGTGGGAATACAAAAAAAAATAAAAATAACAGAACAGGCAAGGCCAGATGACTTCTATTCTGCACTGTGGCTGCGCTCTTTAATTTGACATTTCTTTCTTCCATTGTACCTAAATAAAGTTATTCAACAAATGCATATTAAATTAAATTATGGAATTGACATTTATTTACACAAAATTGCTGTCTTTTTCTTTCCCACTTTCATTCTGCTCAAAACAGAAAATCTAACATTAGGATGTACAACCCTTTGCACTGAGATGGTAGGTGCAAGATGCACGTGTTAAGATAAAAAAAAACAAAAACAAAAAAAAAACCACAACAAACAGCCAAGGCTAAAGATTATGGAGCGATACACTGCAAATTCATACACAAGCGTGGTGCTTCTACTTTGTGCCGTTCTTCACAGTGCGTTCTTGGTTGTGTGGAGAAACGTCACCATTACAGGGTGGGCAGTGGAATCGAGTTGGGGGAGGGGGCACTTGGGCAGGCAGGAAGCGCGTTGCCGTACTTATAAACATGAAATACAACCAAACGCCAGAAGTCAAATGGAGACACTTTCAAGAGTTGACTTGTCAAGTCACTTGCTGACTTTCAATGAATCCGTTACCTCACATGTACGATACGCACGATACGCACACAGCTCAGCATGCATACAAACATACATAACACGATACACGTATCCTCACGCAACAAGCGGCACATACAACCCGGCCCAATGGAGGCTCTTTTCAGTTCTCAAAAGAGTGGTTACAAGTCTGTTCTAAGTCTGGACTTTCTTTCCTTCTTCAGTGAAGCCCTCAATGAAGAACCCCACTTCGGAGCGGCACAGCCCCTCGCCACGCAACAGAGTGGCAACAAGCTGTCACCCGTTGTTTTCGATTTGTTAGGATTGGAATATGCCCGGCACACACAGACACACGCACACGCGCACGCACACTTAGGAGTCTTCATTCATTTCTTGGCTGTCTGTCCTGGCGATCTTTCTTGGGGGTGCCGGGCTATCGCCATCCCCTTGCTCCTGTTCTCGTTTCTTTGCTGCATTCTGGGCATCAAAATGGATCGTTAGCAATCACGCTGCGACGCATCAACTCAAGGAAACCATTGTGGCCGTCGAAACGCGCTCACCTCTTTGTCCCACTGATGATGGAGGTAGCGCAGGAGGATGTTGGTTTTCTCTGTGACAATAACTGAGGCAAAAACACAATCACTAATCTGTCCCACTCACACACACACACACACACACACACACACACACACACACACACACACACACACACACACACACACGACGGGATGTCCGACAACGCAACATCATCACACAGTTACAGTTAGGAAAGTTGTTTTATAGTTGATGCAAGCAGAGCGGCTGACGAATTAAGAGAACATTTGACCCCAGCTAGTTCAAGTATGCCCCCCACCACCCTAGTGAGGATCAAGTGGTTCGGAAAATGAATGAATGAATAGTTCAAGTATCTTAGATTAGGTGCAAAAATGAAACTGTTCAATTAGGTGAAGGTCATAGAATGATGGTGAAGTCAGAGCCAAAGGAGTTCAGCTCCCAAGCGCCTAAATTCCACTTCTGGGATGTCTTCATTTTTCAACCACCACCGAACAACTAGGGCTGAACACACGCTTCTAAACGCACGCTTTTCGAAGTTAGGTTGTGGCATTCTATTAGTTCACCACTAGATAGCAAGTGCATTTTACACACTGTGCCTTTATTAAATATTGCCGGGATATTGGATTGGGACTCAAAATTGGGGAACTTGGACTTTGGTGCAAAAAAAAAAAAAAAAATGTAATGAGGACATCCCTAACATAAATAATTAAAGTACATATAAAAAATAAAGCTGTCTGACTAAATGAAATGAAGCAGAACACACACAAATTGTACCCTTTGTAATTTGACAATTGCATTTTACTTTGTTGCCATGTCGATTTGAATTTAATTTATTCTTCAGCCCGAGTAAACTCTAACGAAATGCGAGTGTGCTTAATGTAGTAAAACATCATACAAATGAAAGCCCAGTCCACATAATGCAAAGATAAGGTTTTTGGTTTTGCGCTTTTAGGTTTAATTCTTGATATAAGACATTGGCACTCACTCTGTTCTGAAGGGTATTCTCGTGTTGGAAGATAGACAGAGGGCCTCCGATTCTGCAGATGACGGTACAAAAATATATATATTCATTTAGCAATAACGTTTTGGTTGCTGAATCGAGAAGAGAAACAGTACCAATGTAAAGTGTACTTACAGATGCTTTACAAACAGAGTCCGCATGAAACCTGCTGAAGTTGCTTTTATTGTAGACGGGAAGCCCCCTTAGGAAATCTGCCTGTGGGTAGAAGCAAAATCAGATGTCTTTCCCCTCCCCAAATCATTTTAAAAGTGATCCTGGACACTTTGCGAGATATATTTTATCACAGAGTCATGTCATCGAAAGCACACGTCGATTTCTGACCCGGCCAAGAACATCAATTGAAACAAATCATTTCTATTTCCCACTCCAGCAGCAGAGTGCTTGATGATGCTGGCGGGTTGACCTCAGTGATGTGAATAATGACGTGCGTGAATTAATTGGTAGCAGCATCTAGTTGAATAGCGGCTAGTGGTTGGTTAACGTGAGCATTGCGCTAATGACAGCAGCACTGCATTGGTATGTAGTATTAGATACCTTCTCCATGACAGTGGTCGAACTCAAATCCAACGTCGACGCCGACCGTTGAGCTTGTTGCGGACACCGCCGTCCACGTCGTGATAGCGGGCAATGTGTTTACGACTATGCAACCGATAGCCGTGCTAGCTAAGGGAATGGGACACCGCACGGCTTGACTATCGGGTGGCACTGACCACACAAATACAAAACTCGCACTTAAATCGCTATTGTCCTTCTATATTTAATTTCACGTAAAACGGTATCGCTCCGAAAAACACTCCGCTTTGACATTTTATAAATTAGCAAAGCTGGTAATTCGGGAGCTACGATGCTAACTTGACGGCATCACTACTACTTACGAACGCGCCCCGGAAACGCTCCTGCTAGCTTAAAGGTTCTTTTCTCAGAGAGCCCTCTAGCGTCTGGAGGTCCGATTCCAAACGCGATTGTGCTGTATTCAGGCACGGCTCCAATATTTTTTTCCTCTTCTGAGACTCAAGGTGGGCTTGCCCGAAACATAGTGTGTGTTGAGAAAATATTTTTTTATCAAGTGCCAGTGGGGCAGCGCAGATTTTTTTATTTCTGACAGATTTCTGCACACCCAAACCCGGGTGGCGTGCCTTCATTAATTGTATTACTTAAAGCATTGAAATTCACGTCAACTACTTGCAATTGTTACAGAGATGGTGGCGGATTTGCCACTTGACTGGGCAGTTGGACTACTCTGTCCACTTTTGAGTGGACAGAGTAGTGAAAAATGTGCTGAAGAGTAGCGTACTGTCATCAGAATATCACTCAAGTAAATGCAACAAATTTGTGGACTTGGAGAAGGCATTTGACCGTGAAGGCTGTCCTTTGTCGCCGATTCTGTTCATCACCTTTATGGACAGAATTTCTAGGCACAGCCGAAGCGTTGAGGGGGTCCGTTTTGGGGGCCTCAGTATTGCATCTCTGCTTTTTGCGGATGATGTGGTACTGTTGGCTCCTTCAAGCAGGGCTCTCCAACTCTCACTGGAGCGTTTCGCAGCCGAGTGTGAAGCGGTTGGGATGAGGATCAGCACCTCCAAATCTGAAACCATGGTCCTCAGTCGGAAAAGGGTGGAGTGCCCTCTCCGGGTCGGGGAGGAGATCTTGCCCCAAGTGGAGGAGTTTAAGTATCTTGGGGTCTTGTTCACGAGTGAGGGCAGGAGGGAGCGAGAGATCGACAGGCGGATCGGTGCAGCGTCTGCTGTGATGCAGACGTTGTATCGGTCTGTCGTGGTGAAGAAGGAGCTGAGCGAAAGGGCAAAGCTCTCAATTTACCGGTCGATCTACGTCCCAACCCTCATCTATGGCCACGAGCTATGGGTCGTGACCGAAAGAACGAGATCCCGGATACAAGCGGCCGAAATGAGTTTTCTCCGCAGGGTATCCGGGCTCTCCCTTAGAGATAAGGTGAGAAGCTCGGTTATCCGGGAGGGGCTCAGAGTAGAGCCGCTTCTCCTCCACATCGAGAGGAGCCAGATGAGGTGGCTCGGGCATCTGATTAGGATGCCTCCTGGACGCCTCCCTGGTGAGGTGTTCCGGGCATGTCCCACTGGCAGGAGACCCCGAGGACGACCCAGGACACGCTGGAGAGACTATGTCACCCAGCTGGCATGGGAACGCCTCGGGATCCGCCAGGAAGAGCTCGAAGAAGTGGCTGGGGAGAGGGAAGTCTGGGATTCCCTCCTAAAGCTGCTGCCCCCGCGACCCGACCCCGGATAAGCGGTGGAAAATGGATGGATGGATGGATAAATGCAACAAGAACTTCTGCTTGAGTAAGAGTATTCTATTGAAATATAACGATTTCAGTACGAGTAACTGGTCACGATTTATTCGTTTTTAAATAGTCATGAATGCCACAAAATCAAATAGAAAATTCTGAAAATATATTTTTAATCACAGCAATCAGTAACTGACATCTGCGTTCAATAATATTGTGTCATAAAGTAAAGTACACATCTCAAACGACTGTTTGACCTTCCTTCTTCTGTACAGCCGTACAGCAATACCGAAATAAATATTTTTTAAATGAACACTGAAAGCTCATGTGATATTAATTGACAAAAACGAGTTACATTTTTGCTAAAAGTTCAGTTAGATTTGGTTTATTTTATTAATGTAAGATGCCGATTCAATTAGTTGTCCGTTCTTTAAGCATGTTCACATTTATTTTATTTCATTAACAAAAATGTTTTCTCATTTTTATTTTTTACTCTTTTTCATGCGTTTTTGTAAACGATGAAACCTTGCCATACACGCATCTGTTTTTAAAATTAATATTTAACCATTACCTATATTGTAAACAGAATGAAAAAAATATGGAACGCTTCCCAAACATTTTTTTTCATTTTGTTTTCTTCTTTCCCAAATCATCATTCAGTACACTTGCCCTGTGTACAGACAGTAATCTGCTGTTTGCGTCAGTAGAGGGCACTACTTCCCATCCATGAATCAGCAGGAGATTAAAACTGTTTGAAGCACCAAATCAAAAGCGTTCTTTTGTCTCCGAGCGCTTTCATTAGTCTTGAAACATTTTTCCAAATCTAGACTGGAGCTGGGGATGATATAGAGGTGAATGAACGAAAGTAGAGGACAACATGCCGCTCGTCGAACGGTGACCGGACGTCGCAGACTGCACTCGAGATAAATTAGATTATGGGATTGACTTTGTCAGATTATATAGCTCTCCGATTTCCTCGATAGTTGATGAGGAAAACACGTCAGTGCAATCATATAAATCATGTTTCACCCCAGGGTTCGGAAATTATGAAGGGATGAAATCTTTCATCTTTTTTATTTTAACTCAACTAGGACAAGGATAGTCCAAAAGTAAACATTCGCTGCCTGTAAAATTGGATCGCAACTGTCTAATGCTCACCGGACAGGTAAGTGTAGCTATACACAAGTTTTGTTCGCAGAGTTTTGTGTGTGTCGAGCTGCTCATTCATATCATCAAAATACATCCGAATTTTGCGTTAGAGGCCTTGTCAACAAGTACAGATTAATTATCAACAGTGACGTTCATTCACTAGACATGTCCAGTTTTTTTTTTCTTGCCGTGATTATTGTTTGATTCGATAATGGATCTGACGCTTAAATTGCCAATTTCAATCATGTGTATAGCATGTTGAGACATCAGAGGAAACGTGAGACTCAATAGATCAAATTCATTCTCATCAAAGGGTGATGTCACGTTTATGGATAGTTTTAGCGGACCATAGTGCATATTATCAGGTAGTAACACTTACACTGGTTGTTTTATCAGTAAAACGTATTGCATGTCAAATTTTCCACTAGCAGTTACCTAGTACGTCTTTCTCGCAGTTCAGAGGTTATGGGTTTGAATATTGTCTCTGTCCTTCCTTTGCTTGTATGGCTTTTCTCAAGATATTCCGGCTTCGTCCCACATTACAACATCATGCATATTAGTCGCATTGAGGACAGGAAACTGTGAATGTGAATGGTGGTTTGTCCATATGTGCTCTGCGGGTTGATGGCGACCAGTCCAGGGTGTATTCAGCATCTTCACCAAAGTCAGCTGGTATTGACTCCAGTCACCCACGGCCATAAAGGACAAGCGCTATAAAAACATAGGGTTGATTTATATCGTGGAGTCTCCATTTAAATGGTCACTTTTAATCATTAATTATACTTCAGCAGTATACAAATCCTGATAGAATTTCTTTGTAGCGGTCAGCCAGGCTCACTTAGTGACTGCCTGTCTATTATTAAAAATTAGGATGAATGAGTGTGACAGTTCACATCAGGAGAAGCCAGAGAGAGATTGAGTTGCGTGGACTGAGACACAAACCATAATCCCCTCTAACCAGAGAGGAAAGTAACAGGAAGTCAGGATAATACCACCCGCAGAGGCTTGCAGACCCTGCATGGTGCATTGGGGTTGCCATGACTGGTAATCACCTGACACTGTTGTTGTTGCTGCTGTTGTGTCTTAGTGTGATCACAGCTGAGCCGGAGAGAAGGCATGAAAGACAAGCTTGGGAAGGAAGGGGAGGGTGGTGGTGCAGCTATTCGAACTGTTACTGTACATAATGCCGTATGAATGTGGATGCAGACGTATTACCTGTACTGTAACACTGGAACAGCAGTGTTTGCCGCCACGACTCCAAATGCCTTGGCACCACTTCCTGATGTGTCCTCAACATTTATTTGGATGTAGAGGTGCGACGATTGATCGATAATTCAACAATTCACCGATTATGAAAATGCATCTACCGTATTGGCCCAAATATAAGACGGCCCTGAATATAAGACAACCCCCTCTTTTTCAAGACTCAAGTTTGAAAAAATACTTTTTGAACACCAATTAATTTTTATACATTTAATAATTACAGTACATCTGAAACAAATGATTATAACAATATATTTGAGAGAAAAAGCATGTTATTTTACCTCATTCAAATCTTAATATCTGAACATTTAAATATGTAAACTAAGGTGCAATCACATTCGTAAATGAATGGCTTCTGGTTTTTGAAATGTAAATTACATTATAACTTCTCAGCTGCTGGTTAACCTGACCGATCTTCGACCCACTTTTCTCCAGATTGTCGCTACATTTCTCCATTTTCTGTTATCTCTTCTATTATTTTCTTCACTTTTCTTTCTTACTGCTATTTTTTCTTTTTCTTTTTCGTGCTATCGCTATTTTTATTTTTATTCTTCGTGACAGGGGTTCACTTTGGCCTGGGGAGTCAAGTTCAGCATTCGCTTCAATGATATCTGTCGCCATCTAGCGTCGTGAATGGGTATAATGTCTAGACCCTGAATATAAGACGACCCCGAACTTTTTCAGTCTTATTTCAATGCAAAAAAATCACCGTCTTATTTTCGGGCCAATACGGTATTTATTTTTAATAATCGAATAATTGCTTAGATACCGTTTGTAATTTAATATTGTCTGAATCCCCAGAATTTCAGCCTACGAACAGGAAACATTTTCCGAGTGCTGTTGTGCACATATAATCAAGCCCCTTAATGTCATGTTATACTTTTAGTCTATTGGGTGCATTAGAAATACGCCAACGGAGAACTAGAGTGTCGGGCCTCAGAAAATTTTCAGGAGGTTGCATTTTGATATGTGGATAGCTTGAGGTCGACTTCTTGTTTGTGAACGTTGACACAATAAGAAACAAGGACTTGTCCCTTAGATGTCTTTACCTGTGTCTTTATCTGTGCGTTTCAATGCAGCCATGCCGGCAAGCTCTATGGAAGGTCTTCTCTGCTGCCTTCCGTCAAAATCAACCAATGTTGTGGTGCCTGTGGAGACTTTTGAACCTACCAACGGTTACGAGTTCGTTGAGGTGAAACCAGGCCGCGTGCTTCGTGTTCGACATATAATCCCTGAGCGGCCGGTGGTGGAGCAACCCACAGGGCAGGGTGGGTGCGTCAGTTGCAAGAGGAGGATCTCAGTCTTCTGCAATGGACAGCTGTTCATCGAGAACCTGGGTGACAGTGCGGCTGCAGAGCAGAAAACCCGCAGCAATGGTGACACAGAACCAAACAGCACTGTAGAGGTTGAACTGACAGGTTGCGGCAACTCTTCGCCGCCCGCCCAAGTCCCCGGTACCGAGTCGGACTCGGTCACGGCAGGAAAAGTCGTGACAGCTGAAATGGGAACAGGAGGGGACGCGCTCGCCGCTTCGCAGGCCGGAGCGTCACAGGACCGACACAGGCGGAAGCTCAAACGCACTGTGGTGATTGACTGCGAGAGGAAAATATCAGCGTGTAAAGGGACACATCCGGATGTTGCCCTGTTCTTTATCCATGGCGTGGGAGGCTCTCTCGATATCTGGAGGAGCCAGTTGGACTATTTTTCTCGACTGGGCTATGAGGTGATCGCCCCCGACCTGGCAGGCCACGGGTCCAGCTCGGCGCCTCCAATAACCGCCGCATACACTTTCTACGCCCTGGCAGAAGACATGAGACTTATCTTCAAGAGATACGCACGCAAGAGGAATATTCTCATCGGACATTCTTACGGGTAAACAACAGTGATATCACAGCCTCACACTTTCCGTATTGGCCCGAATATAAGACGGCTCTGATTATAAGACGACCCCTCTTTTTCAAGACTCAGAGATGAAAGTCCTCCGGATTTTCCCGGAATTCCGGGTTTTTCAAATTTTTATGAAAATTTCTCCGGAGAATTGAGGAAAATTTGCATAATCCGGATATTAGTTGACAACATTGAACGAAGACGCGTTTGAGTTCGTTGTATTGCTTTCACGAGCGTAGCCATATTGAGGCACTAACACTAGTAACAGTAAAGAGATTTTTGTTTGTGTAATAACGACAGAAGGCATGATGGCGTTTGACTAATGGTTTAGTAGAACGAATGGCAACTCGCAACAACAGTAGCAAGCGTCATGTTGCCTCTTGGGTTATACCATCTCAACTAGAACATGGGGGATAG